GCCCAGGGAGGTACTACCGTCCTGCCAAGTGAGTGTTAACACGAAAGCCTGTAATTGTTTTACATGATGGTAGGATTGCTGGTGTCCTTTTTTCTGTCTCATGAACATGCAAAATTTCAGGTACGTCTTGCTACTTCTACTTACACTCAGGTCACACTACACATACATGTACAAGCGTATATATACATACCCCTCTGGGTTTTCTTCGATTTTCTTTCTAGTTCTTGTTCTTGTTTATTTCCTCTTATCTCCATGGGGAAGTGGAAACAGAATTCTTCCTCCGTAAGCCATGCGTGTTGTAAGAGGCGACTAAAATGCCGGGAGCAAGGGGCTAGTAACCCCTTCTCCTGTATATATTACTAAATTTGAAAGGAGAAACTTTGGTTTTTTCTTTTGGGCCACCCTGCCTCGGTGGGATACGGCCGGTGTGTTGAAAGAAAGAAAGATATATATTATATATAGTATATATATATATATATATATATATATATATATATAATATTATATATATGCAATAAGATCACAGTAAACAGGTGATTTCAGAATATGCAAAACAAACCACTCTGAAAGAATAGAGAAATTCCAAGCGCTTTCGTGACTACTCACATTATCAAGGAACTTTGAAAGTAAAGCATCCAAGGAAGCTATATAAGGGGTCTGGCCGGCACCTCACTATCAGATCCCACAACGGTTTAAACACCTGACGCGCGCCGACCCAACTTGGATAGGTCCTTGGCACAACTCACCCCACAAACTATTCTACCAAGAAATAAGAAATTTTAACGATTATTTGTCCAGTGTATTATTAAATTCTTCCCAAATTCTATTAATTATAAATGGATCTAATTTATATAAACCAAAGGAAATATTCATATTATTGTCAAAACTGCTTTTTATGAAACAAGATTCAATTATATTCCTGTCGACCATGGACTTGCTTGATACTACTTTCTCAACTTTTTGAAAATCAATTGGATGGTTAAAATCTCTTACATGAATAAATAGAGCATTGGAATCTTGTCCAGTTCTAATGCTATATTTATGTTGTTTTAATCTTAGTTCGAGATTTTTACCAGTTTGACCAGGGAATCCAGTCAGACCAATTATTAGCTCCATAGGGTCAGTTTCATATAAATTATCCAAATGGCTTGTTGATATTTTGAGCCCTATTGTTGGCAAAATTTCTAACTTTAATGTTAAAAACAACATAGACTTGGTTGATAAATTAAGCTCCTTGACTGACTTAAATGATTTTAACATGGTTAGTTTTGATGTTATTTCCTTGTTTACGAAAGTTCCTGTTGATGATTTATTAAGTTTCTTATCTGAAGAACTTGTTAACTATGATTTACCATTGCCTGTTCCTACTATCATTAAACTTATTAAACTTTGCATTGTTGATGCAAAATTTGTATTTAATGATAAGTTTTACACTCAGAAGTTTGGTATGGCAATGGGAAATCCTCTTTCACCTGTTCTTAGTAACCTATACATGGAATTTTTTGAAACAAGGTTGCTTAACACAATCCTCCCTAATAGAGCTAAATGGTTCAGATATGTTGATGATATTTTGTGTCTTATGCCCAAAAATGTAGATATACACCATTTCTTGGAAAATTAAATAGCTTAGCCCATTCTATAAACTTTACTGTTGAGTTTGAAGAAAATAACTCATTGCCTTTTCTAGATGTTTTAATTATTAAGGGTAATAATGAATTCAAATTTAAAATTTACAGAAAACTTTACAAATAACTGTTCCTATGTCCACTATTATTCCTCGCATCAAGATAGAGTCAAACTGTCTGTTTTCTCATCAATGTTTTTGAGAGCTTTACGAATTTGTAGTCCTGAGTTCATAGATGAGGAAATATCCAAAATTTATGAAATAGGTAATGATTTAAAATACCCAAGAAATGTAATTGATAAATCTTTTAAAGTTGCTAGGAACACTTTTTATAATCCAAAAAAGGGCAACCAGCCTTATTCAACTAAAAATATGTTGGTTCTCCCTTACCATGAAAACTTGGTTGATATGCCTTCTCTTCTTAAGACTTTTAATAATAAAGTTGTATTCAAAAATCTTGATACAGTAAAAAAACTTTTGATTAAGAATTCCCCCCAAAATGCTGATGGATGTGTCTATAAGATTCCTTGTAAAATTTGCGATAAAGTTTATTACGGTCAAACTGGTAAAAATCTCGAACTAAGATTAAAACAACATAAATATAGCATTAGAACTGGACAAGATTCCAATGCTCTATTTATTCATGTAAGAGATTTTAACCATCCAATTGATTTTCAAAAAGTTGAGAAAGTAGTATCAAGCAAGTCCCATGGTCGACAGGAATATAATTGAATCTTGTTTCATAAAAGCAGTTTTGACAATAATATGAATATTTCCTTTGGTTTATATAAATTAGATCCATTTATAATTAATAGAATTTGGGTAGAATTTAATAATACACTGGACAAATAAATAGCTTGGGGGTGAGTTTTGCAAAGGACCTATCCAAGTTGGCTCGCCGCGCGTCACGTGTTTAACCGTTGTGGGATCTGATAGTGAGGTGCTGGCCGACCCCTTATATAGCTTCCTTGGATGCTTCACTTTCATAGTTCCTTGATAATGTGAGTAGTCACGAAAGCGCTTGGAATTTCTCTATTCTTTCAGAGTGGTTGTTTTGCATATTTTGAAATCACCTGTTTACTGTGATCTTATTGCTATATATATTATATATATATATATATATATATAATATATATATATATATATATATATATTATTATATATATATATATATATGTATATATATATGTATATGTATATATATATATATTATATATATATATATATAAATATATATATTATATATATATATATATATTATATATTATATATATATAATTTTTTTTTTTCAACAAGTCGGCCGTCTCCCACTGAGGCACACACACACACACACACGCCCAGGGAGGTACTACCATCATGCCAAGTGAGTGTAAAACGGAAGCCTGTAATTGTTTTACATGATGGTAGGATTGCCGGTGTCACTGATGTTGCCGCCACCCAGTCATTTTGGGTCAACTTCCCGCCGCTGTATCTCAGTAAGTACTCATCAGAAAATTTTTTTGTTTTGTTTTATTACCTTCACAAAAATATTATCTTTAATTCTGTAAGAAAAAAATTTTTTTTTTTTTTCAAAATTTCTTGGACACTGGGGCACCCCTTCCGATTTTGGCCTTGGACCCTGAAAGGGTTAATATTATTTATAATGCCACATTAGATGAATTGTGATAGGTAAATAAGCCGTAGAGATGATATTAGCGTCATATTGAAGCATAATAAACTTGCCTTCCTCTTGCCTCCTATGTGTCTACCATACACCAACAAGTCAAGTCAATAGAGGTAAGTGTGACATTAAATGTTCATTTATCCATTTTATTAGTGCTTTGTATTTAATTGTCACTGTTTTCTGTATGTATATTTATATTTAATCTTTCAAAAAATATTTTTTGTTAATACTTTTGGCTGTCTGAAATGGATTAATTGGATTTCCATTATTTCTTGTGGGGAAAATTAATTCGGTTAAAGGCTAAATCGGCTAAAAGCTAGCTCTCTGGAACAGATTAAAGGCGTTACCCGAGGGTCCACCCACCCACCCACCCTCACTCACACTCACACACACACACACACACACACACTCCACCACACACACACTCACACACACACACACACACACACACACACACACACACACACACACACACACACACACACACACACACTCTCTCACACACACACACACACACACACACACACACACACACACCCTCTCACACTCACTCACTCTCTCACATGTGTGTGTGTGTGTGTGTAATACATATACATGTATACATAAACTGTCACTGTAAAGAAACGAAAAGTTGACCTTGGAAAAGTAATAATTATACAAGTTATAATAAGCAGTATGAAAAATGCACTGGCACTTTAACAACCTTTCAGCTAGATGTCTATGAACTTCCTTGCATCAGACATTTATACTAGCAATACACAAGTGATCATTAACTTGAAGTCTACCAATATATTATTCCTGAATATAGCACAGTAATAATCAAGTTATGGTAGATTCCTACAAGAAGCACATTTGCATAGTAAATTTTCATTAGGCAGTAGTTTCAATAATCAAAAACTTATCAAAATGCCTAAAATTGCCTTAAAATGTGCAGGGGCTCTCTCTAAGGAGTACAGATTTTAAAGTGCTTGTGGTACAGTGAGCTTGGGCAGGCACTCTCCTGTTCCCTTCCACAACTGGTCATTTTCATGCTTTTATAAAGTTGTCGTATCTCTATATACCTTCATCACGTACACTAGGCAAGCACACCAGACACTTACTTGTGATTGAAGATAGAATAGAAAAAAATGACAATAGCTGGAAATTACATTAGTTTGTGGTATAGTGTAGTCTTGCAAGCTATGGTGTTTACGCTGCACCTTAGTGGGTTGCTAGTCCTAATTTCCCAATGCTAGGAATTTTGTTTAGCAAGTTTTTTACGTTTATCTAAATTTTTGTTAATGTTGCCTGTGCTCCTTGTCTGAGTCTACTGTAGTTTGAACTCAACAAATTACTAACACATTAGTTTAAACAACTGACTGAAGATATAAGTATTGCCTAAACCCTGCATGTAAAGCACATTAGTTTCAACAATATAAAATTGTATATGGGTGTTTTATTTGCCAATCCTTGCTGTATGCTGTACAGTATAATGCTGTACTTGGATCTTGGGATCATTTCTATAAAACAGAGAATTACAAAAAGACTTGCATTTTTCTATACATAATTTCTCTCCATTATTAGAATGGATATTTTTATTAACTCAAAAAAAAAAGGCTGAATTTGAACATGTACATTGATCATAATGGATTATTTTCATATCTCCCAACAGAAAATGCTTTAAATTTACTGCTTGTGCTAATACAACTAAAGGAATATAAAAAATTTGATAAGAAATTTCTTCATAATTTATTTAAATTTTAAGAGAAAGTTACTGAAATATCTCACATTTTAAAGCAATAAATCTCATTTTAATGAGTAATTCCTAGTGAAAAAAGTTCATTTACAAAATGCTGTAAATACCTTGCTAGAAACATGACAACTTCCTATTCAAAATAAAACAAATGTATTAAATTCTACCCCATCATTACATATTTTTAACTTGTACAATGTTTTAATTTCATAACAGCACAGTCAATTTGCTCGTCACAGACAATGAGATACGTGTCTAAAAACCGATCAAGCACTTTCTCCTAAATGCAAATAGATTAAGAGTGTCTATATATTGAGCTATATAACGTGGCTAATTCTGAGGTGGTGGATCTTGGGGGTTACTGTCTTGTGAATCTCCCGAGCTCCCACCAGCACCACGGTTCATTTGTTGACGAATTTGTTCAACCAATTCTGGGTGCTGGGACTGCATTTGTTCTGCTAGCTGCCGTCCACTGAATGTTGGGAAAAAATGAGTAAATTCTAAATTAGAAATTCTAATAAATAGGAAGACTTAATTTTTTTTTAAATAAAGCTTTCACCATATTACAAGTGTTAATACAGTAACGGATTAAGTATTAAATTTGCAGATCCGACTGCATGTGGTACAAGATAAAATGTGTAATCAAATATTCTTGAAGAATGGATGGAAGAGACTTAAGAACAAGGAATGATAAAGGCAGACAATTTAATGGTTAGAGAGCAGGACAAACATCCTCAGCCAGGAAAGATGATATGTGTCAGGTTAATGATGCTACCTGTCATGGCACTTGTATTTGCTCATTTAAAAAGTTATTATCTCTGTTCATCTCTCAAGGCAGGCAAGATCACAGCTAAGAAATAAGCAGAGCACACTAACAGCTATCACACATTGGTAAATTTTCTAAGCTTGAGGGAGACCCTCAAAACACTCTGATTGTACTTTATTTATTTATTTATTTTATGTCTTTGCAAGTAATACACTGAGATTTTGTATTTGTAAAGAAAGCCTCTATTATGCCTAGGCATTATGGGCCAACTTAATATTATTTGCTTACAGACTACTTAACATTAAGGATTATATCATAGTTATACAGTAGGATAGTAATTATTTCATAGTTGTACAGTAGATTATTAATTATAAGAGGTGCAGTAAACCCTTGACATGATGAACTAATAGGTGGCATTGTCAGTGTCTATTAACCCCTTTCAGCGGCTGTCATGTAGAACTATGTCATTGATGCTAGGGTCCCTTGTGTAGTTCTACATTATCAGCTCAGCTCACTCAGATAAACTGTGAGCTGTAAATTTTGGCCTAGATATGAGAGAATGTGTCTGTGGGGTGAGTGGACACAATATAAAAATATCCTGCCCCACACAGTGCATGATGAGCAAAGCAAAACTCTGACCATGTGTATGGTTTAAAATAGCGACTTTGAAGCATTTTCTCGGAGGATGGGTTTTATGGATTTATTACCCGCTTCTTAGTATCATTTGATAGACTGGAAGATATGCTACTGAAATAAAGATTATTTTTGTTGAGTTCAGGACCTGAAGTAGATTGAAACTGAGCCTAAAATACTAAAATAAAATTTTGCCGATATTCCTAAAGACAGATAAGGCCCTCCTTACACCTCTCATGACCAATCATTCCTGGTTATATTTTATTACTCGAGAAATAGAGTAAACCTTCTATTCTTGTGTGATTAAGAATTCGAAGTGGAAGGCAAGCAAAATATAGGAAAGGCTTAGGAATGTGATTAATGAAAAGATAAAATGTTGTTTTAGTGCCTGGAATGTCTATAATGTTTATTTTGGACCATTTTTTAATTGGCATTTTTTTAACTGTGTAAAACTGGCCAAATTACTGACTACTGTCCACTTTATAAGGTAGCTGAAACAATTGAATAGGTAGCAAATATACTAGTGAAACAGCCAAGAATCTGGTCAATTGGAGCAATAGTATTAACTTAAAATAGGACTCTAAACTGTTGAAATCATTGATGTGTAAACTGCACTGAGACTGATAACTTTGAACCTCTGTAATTTTCACAAAAGTGACATTTGGCGAGTTCTTATTTTTTTTTTAGTGCCTTGTATCTCATGTGGTTTTTCTACCTTAAACTGTCAAAAAAATTCAGTATAAGATTAAAAAAAAGGAAAAGTTATGTGATAGAAACCAAAAAGGCTCAGATTTGTGATCAGTGCATCAAAGTTAATTTATAACAACCAATTTGGTTTCTACTTTCGTTTTTCCTTTTCGGCCACCCCACCTCAGTGGGATACGGCTGGTGCGTTGAAAGAAAGAATTTGGTTTCTGAACTGGATTATTAAAATGTTAAAATTTATTGGCTAGTGCAGTATTGGGAATTGAAGACCAGGATGATAAAAAAAAATATAAAGTGAAATGAAGAAACAACAAAATGTAATAAGGTTGTCTGTACAATTCAGTGACACTAAGCAGGAATTTTATGACAAACTGAAGAAACATTTTGGCAAATGAGTTGCAACTTACGCAGTAAGAAGAGCTTCCATGCCAGTGTTTGAAGCAGCTGCAGCAGGAGCACTAGGACCTCCAGTGGCAACACCACTGCCACCACCACCACCCAAGCCACCAACACTTCCCATGAAGCTACTCATCCTGAAATGAGAATGCCTCCAATATGTTCTTAAACATGTGATAAGCTAAAGATTTTGGTTGGTTTCTAGTGAATGCAGGTTACTGGCAAAGAATCAACAACCTATTTCTTCTCCTTCTTTCAACAAACCAGCCATATCCCACCGAAGCAAGGTGGCTGAAAAATAAAAATAAAAAATTCTCTTTTAACTTTAGTAATGTATACAGGAGAAGGGGTTACTAGCCCCTTGCTCTCGGCATTTTAGTCACCACTTACGACACTCGTGGCTTATGGAGGAAGAATTCTGTTTCACTTCCCCATGGAGAACAACCTATTTATTCTCATCTTACTAAAGCAGCTTCTTAGACTGTCCATCTATTGTATAGTCTTCAAGCTCATTTCCATGACCATACTGCACTACTTTCACTCATTTGTTAATAATAATAATAATAATAATAATAATAATCTTTAATTCTACAAGTACATGTACAAGGTATACAGGCTTATCTGATGTCAATGACATACTACTATATTGAAAGCCCCTTGTTATGCAGAGTATTTCGGGCAAATTAGGTCAATTTTGTCCCTAGGATGTGACCCACACCAATCAACTAATACCCAGGTACCCATTTTACTGATGGGTGAACACTGGACAACAGGTATCTTAAGGAAACATGTCTTAATGTTTTCCAGTTGTAAGAGGGATCAACCCCCCGGACCACAGTGAGTGAGCTGAGGGCACTAGCGATCAAGCTATGGGATATTGTTCTCCTAGCTTCTGCCACCTGCCAACCAGTCCTTCCCTGGCTTATATTCTCAACTTCACTTGCACAAATACACTTGAAAAATTATGAATAAAACATGTGACCATTAACAAATTCTGACAGATCACCATTCACATTAATTTTATCGATGCCAGATAATATTCAGTCAAAATTTAAAATTAGTTAAATTACAATCTACTAATCTTCAGTTTAAAAAGGAACATGAGCAAACACTAGGACATTTTTATCAGAAAATGTTTTGGGCTTGGGACCATGATCACTTCTAACACACAATGGTTGAAAATAACAGTATATACAGTGGTCCCTTGATAATCGTAAGGCTCGATAGTCGTAATTTTTGAAAATCGTAACGTTATTTTCGTCAAAACATTGGCTCGCTAATTGTAGTTTGACTCGCGAATAGTCGTTCGTCTGGGAGGCATACTCACGGCACTGAGCCGTTCCCAGCCAGTGTGCCATTGTTTACCAGTGAGCGATGGTCCCCTCATTTGCTCACACGAAATATTTCCTAATATTCCATTCATTTTAGTGCTTGCAACTACTAAATAAACTACCATGGCTCCAAAGAAAGCTCCTAGTGCCAAGCCTTTGGTAAAGAAGGTGTGAAATACGATTGAATTTAAGAAAAACATCATTGCTGACAAAAATGAGATCACCAGTATTCGAAGATATTGAGAAGTTATTATTGGTGTGGATAAATGAATAACAATTAGCAGGAGATCATTTGTGAAAAGGCTAGGCAGTTGCACGATGATCTGGTAAAGAAATTGCCTGCAACGAGTACTGATATTTGTGAATTTAAGGCCAGCACAGGTTGGTTTGAGAGATTTAAGAACCGTAGTGGCATACACAGTGTGATAAGGCATGGTGAGGCTGCCAGTTCGGACCAAAAAGTGGCTGAAAAATATGTGCAGGAATTCAAGGAGTACATAGAGGCTGAAGGACTGAAACCTGAACAAGTGTTCAATTGTGACAAAACAGGCCTCTTTTGGAAGAAAATGCCAAAGAGGACCTACATTACTCAGGAGGAAAAGGGACTGCCAGGACACAAGCCTATGAAAGACAGGCTGACGCTCATGTTCTGTGCTAATGCTAGTGGGGATTTCGGAGTGAAGCTGTTACTAGTGTACCATTCTGAAAATCCCAGAGTGTTCAAGAAAAACAATGTTATGAAGAGTAAATTGTGTGTGTTTTGGAAATCTAATAGTAAGGCACGGGTCACAAGGGAAATTTTCGTTGAGTGGTTCAATGAAGTGTTTGGTCCCAGTGTGAAGAATTATCTCCTGGAAAAGAAATTGGATCTGAAGTGCCTCCTAGTAATGGACAATGCACCTGCTCATCCTCCAAACTTGGATGACCTAATTTTCGAGGAGTTTGGGTTCATCACAGTAAAGTTCTTGCCCCCCAAATACCACTCCTCTCCTCCAGCCCATGGACCAGCAGGTCATTTCAAACTTTAGAAAACTCTACACCAAAGCAATGTTTCAAAGGTGCTTTAATGTGACCTCAGACACTCACTTGACCCTAAGAGTTTTTGGAAAGAACACTTCAGTATCCTCCATTGCATAAGCCTTATAGGTAAGGCTTGGGAGGAAGTGACTACCAGGACTTTGAACTCTGCTTGGAGAAAATTGTGGCCAGATTGTGTCCACAAGAGGGATTTTGAAGGGTTTGGGGCTGACCCTGATGAGCCTATGTCTGTTGTGAAATCTATTGTGGCACTGGGGAGTTCCATGGGGTTGGATGTGAGTTTGGAGGATGTGGAAGAGTTGGTGGAAGACCACAACGAAGAGCTCACCACTGAGGAGCTGCAAGAGCTTCAGCAGGAACAGGAACAGTTCGCAGCTCAGAATCTTGCTGAAGAGAAGGAGGAAGAGAGATGGAAGAAGTTGCCTTCTTCAGAAATTAAGGAGATTTTTGAAATGCGGGGTAAGATGGAAAGATTTATGGAGAAACATCACTCTGACAAGGCTGTTGCAAGCCATGTTGGCAACATGTACAGTGACAAAGTCTTGGCCCATTTTAGGGAAGTGTTAAAGAGACGCCAGAAACAGAGCTCTCTGGACAGTTTTTTTGCGAGACAGGACTCCAGTGACTCTCAAGCTGGTCCTAGTGGCATTAAGAAACAGAGAAGAGAAGTAACCCCAGAAAAGCACTTGGTACCTGAGGTGTTGATGGAAGGGGATTCCCCTTCCAAACAGTAAATAATTCAATCTCTCTCCTCCTCCAGTCTTCCATACACTAAGAAGAATCACCAATAAAGGTAAGTGTTATTCTGTTAATGCTTCATTCATCATGTCCCATTGTATTGTTTATGTACTACATCTATATTCATGTAAAAATTTTTTTTTGTTTTAATACTTCTGGGTGTCAGGAACGGATTAATTGTATTTACATTATTTCTTATGGGGAAAATTTATTCGAAAATCGTAAATTTCGATAATAGTCACACTTCCAGGAACGGATTAATTACGAAAAATGAGGGACCACTGTATAGGGAATATTGTTTTTAAGTGGCTGGTGCTTTTATTCAACAAATATAAAAAAGAGGGGAAGGTACCTAGAGACTGGCAGAGAGCATGCATAGTACCTTAGTATAATGGCAAAGGGGACAAAAGAGAGTTTAAGAATTATAGGAGAATAAGCCTGTTGAGTCCATGCGTGTCGTAAGAGGCAACTAAAATGCCGGGAGAAAGGGGCTAGTAAATTCTTCTCCTGTATATATTACTAAATTTAAAAGGAGAAACTTTCATTTTTCCTTTCGGGCCACCCCACCTCAGTGGGATACGGCTGGTGCGTTGAAAGAAGAAGAAGCCTGTTGAGTATACCAGATAAGGTGTATAGTAGTTATTATTGAAAGAATTAAGAGGTGAGTAGGAATGCAGATGAGCAAGGAGGCTTCAGAAATAGTAGACCATTTCCAAAGAAAACAGCCCAGTTTCTTTACTTTCAGGTACAGAGAGAACTTGCTGCTTCTGCTGCATGTACCCACTTTCTTCAGTTATTTACAGAAATGGTGGAGAAATGTGTGAGAAAAGACATATTTACAACAAAGGTTTCAGCCATGAGACTAAGAAATGATGGCATCCATCCAGGATTTCTGGGGATAAATCATTATATAGGGTCAAATTACATATGCTTCTAATAGAGCAGTTTGAACACCCCCTGAAAAATGTATACCACACCATTAATAAAAAAATGCCTAAAGATCACTATGATTAATATGAGCTAGAAGAAAAAAAATTACAATTGCATTTCTAGGTAAACTTAGTCCATATTCTGGAAATACCAACAATTTAGTACTTACATATTTTGCATATTAGGGTCTGACATCAGCTGTGTAGCCATATTCATGAGAGCAGGATTATTAAGCATGCTGGTAAGGTCTGGGCCTCCAGGACCTCCCAGCCCAGCAAGACTACCCAGTCCAAATGGCAAGCCACCACCAGGTCCTGTTGAAAACACATTTTAAGGAGTAATGAAAAAAAGTTTAAAGTAGATTTTGAATTACATGTCTATACATTACATGGTACAGTATAGTACAATATTAACTAAGCCTGTACATACACATAAATGACTAAATTTTATTTTGCATTTCTTCATTCTGAATGCAAAGAGAAAATTTAGTTATTCCAAGGATCGTAATTAAAATTTACAGTAAAACTTTTACTAAAATTTGAACTGACTGAAGATGTTATGGTTACATAATACTGTATTCAAACACAGTTGCTCCATACTTGTTTGCTTCAGATAGTCAAAAGTAAAGACATAAATCTTCTACTGTGTCTTCCGGACTCATATGTCTGTACTAGATCCAATGATTTAAACCTGAGAGAATGTTGCTAACTCAGTGTTATTTCTGATCACAAGTGCAATGAATGCTCTTTATTTTTTCCCTATTTCTTTCAAATCATAACTTGTAATGATTATATACCTACTTAGGATTACAATTATATACCTGTTCTACCTAAGTACTAGTAGGCTGGTAAACAGCAACCACCCAGGGAGGTACTACCATCCTACCAAATGAGTAAAATAGAAGCCAGTAACTGTTTTACATGATGGTAGGATTGCTGGTGTCTTTTTTCTGTCTTATAACATGCAAGATTTCAGGTACGTCTTGCTACTTCTACTTACACTTAGGTCATACTACACATACATGTACAAGCATATATATACACAACCCTCTAGGTTTTCTTCTATTTTCTTTCTAGTTCTTGTTCATGTTTATTTCCTCTTATTTCCATGGGGAAGTGGAACAGAATTCTTCCTCTGTAAGCCATGCGTGTTGTAAGAGGCGACTAAAATGCCAGGAGCAAGGGCCTAGTAACCCCTTCTCCTGTATAAATTACTAAATTTAAAAATAGAAACTTTCGTTTTTCTTTTTGGGCCACCTTGCCTCGGTGGGATACAGCCGGTTTGTTGAAAAGAAAAAAAACATGCAAGATTTCAGGTACATCTTGCTACTTCTACTTACACTTAGGTCACACTACACATGAATGTACAAGCACATACAGTGGAACCTCAGCTTACGAACACCCAACCATGCGAATTTTTCAGGATACGAAGTTGTTTTTTTATTTTTTGCTTCTGGATACGAAGGAAATTTCAGGACGTGAACTTCCCCCTCAAGGGAGGTTCCTTAACCCTTTGACTGTCGAGGTCGTATATATACGTCTTACGAAGTACCGTGTTTGACGTATACTTTTTTTATTTTTTTTTATTATCACACTGGCCGATTCCCACCAAGGCAGGGTGGCCCGAAAAAGAAAAACTTTCACCATCATTCACTCCATCACTGTCTTGCCAGAAGGGTGCTTTACACTACAGTCTTTAAACTGCAACATTAACACCCCTCCTTCAGAGTGCAGGCACTGTACTTCCCATCTCCAGGACTCAAGTCCGGCCTGCCGATTTCCCTGAACCCCTTCATAAATGTTACTTTGCTCACACTCCAACAGCATGTCAAGTATTAAAAACCATTTGTCTCCATTCACTCCTATCAAACACGCTCACGCATGCCTGCTGAAAGTCCAAGCCCCTCGCACACAAAACCTCCATTACCCCCTCCCTCCAACCTTTCCTAGGCCGATCCCTACCCCGCCTTCCTTCCACCACAGACTGATACACTCTTGAAGTCACTCTGTTTCGCTCCATTCTCTCTACATGTCTGAACCACCTCAACAACCCTTCCTCTAGCTGCTTCAAATCAAGCAGGAGAAAGCTGGTAGGCCCACATGTGAGAGAATGGGTCTGTGTGGTCAGTGTGCACCATACAAAAAAAATCCTGGAGCATGCAGTGCATAATGAGAAAAAAAAACTCCGACCATTTTTTTTAACTAAAATGCCGACTTTGTGGTCTATTTTTGTATAGTATTTATGGTTGTATTCTCGTTTTCTTGGTCTCATTTGATAGAATGGCAAATAAAGGTGATTTTGATTGATTTTACTATAAAAAGAACCTGGAAATGGACCTCAAAGTAGGGGAAATGTTTGATTTTTGCCGATGTTCAAAAGTAAACAAATGATGTCATTGTCCAACAAATGCCCAACTAGCCATTCTAATATGCAGTCATGAATGGGTTGATGTTATTTATACAATTATTACAGTATTGCAGCAGTCTGCATAACAGTAAATCTTCTAATTTTTGTTTGAATAAAAATTCAAAATAGAAAGCAAGAGTAATATCAGAGGGGCTTAGAGACATGACTGATAAACAAAGAAAATGTTATTTTAGAGCCAGGAATGTCTGCATTGTTCATTCTGGACCTTATTTTGAAATTGTCATATTTTTTAATTTTTGTGAAATTGGCCAAATTGCAAATTTCTGACCACATTATTGGGTAGTTGAAATTGGTAAATGGGCAGTTTCTTGTACTCAATCGATAGAAAAAATGGAGTTCTAAAGAAATAGCTATGAGTTTGGTCGACTGAAACAATGGAATTAGCCGAAAATAGGGCTCCAAGTGCGCGAAATCGCTGATTTGGAAATAACGCCGAGGTCGCTAACTTCGCGAGAGCATAATTCCGTCAGTTTTCCAAAAAATTTCATGTTTTTGGTGTCATTACAATCGGGATAAGATTCTCTATCATTTCACAAGAATTTTTTTTTTTTTTTTTTTGAAATTTTGCGACACCAGGAGACACTTCAGGATTGTGGGTTGCGACAGTCAAGGGGTTAAATAAATAAATAAATAAAATATCTATTTCTTTACAAAGGTTACAATATGTGTTTACATATCATAGTATGATTGGAGCAAAGAAAGCCACTATCATGCTGAGGCATTCCAGGCAGACTTAACCTAATACTGTACTACTTATAGACTACTTAAGTCTAGACAGGTGAAAAGTGTACTAGTGGTGGTCACCAATGTTTTGCTGATGGTGGTGCCAACTACTGGCAGTCTTTTGAAGTTTCTCCTTACTGTTATTATTATTATTACATTGTATTATTACTATTACTACACTGTATTATTATTATTGTTATAATTATTATTATTAGAAGTACAGTGGACCCCCGCTTAACGATTACCTCCAAATGCGACCAATTATGTAAGTGTATTTATGTAAGTGCGTTTGTACGTGTATGTTTGGGGGTCTGAAATGGACTAATCTACTTCACAATATTCCTTATGGGAAAAAATTCGGTCAGTACTGGCACCTGAACATACTACTAGAATGAAAAAAGTTCGTTAACCGGGGGTCCACTGTATGTACGTATTGATGGGCTCTTGATCTATGGAATTGGATCTGTGCTCCAGTTCCCTTAACCCTTTCAGGGTTTCTGACGTACTAGTGAGGCTTACGCACCAGGGTTTTTGATGTACTAGTACGCCTAAATTCTAGCGCCCTCAAATCTAGTGAAAGCTGGGAGGCCTACATTTGAAAGAATGGGTCTATGTGGTCAGTGTGCGCAGTATAAAAAAAAATCCTGCAGCACACAGTGTGTAATGAGAAAAAAAAACTTTGACAGTGTTTTTGGTTCAAAACAGCGAATTTGCACTGTATTTTCATATGGTATTTATGATTGTATTCTAATTTTCCTGGTCTCATTTTATAGAATGGAAGACATATTATAGAAAGTGAGATGATTTTGATTGGTTTTACAATGAAAAGTACCTTGAAATTAATAAAATTGCTAAATTCTGACCACTTTACTGGATAGTTGAAATCGGTAAGTGGGTGGTTTCTTGTACTCATTCGATAGAAAAATTGGAGTTCTAGCGAAATAGTTACGATTTTTGTCGACTAGTACACTGGAATTGGCCGAAAATAGGACTCAAAGTGGGCAAAATCGCCGATGCGCAAACATTGTCGAGACCGCTAACTTCGCGAGAGCATAATTCTGTAAGTTTTCCATCAAATTTCATACTTTTGGTGTCATTATGATTGGGAAAAGATTCCCTATCTTTTCATAAGAAAAAATCATTTTTTTTTTTTTGAAAATTTGTTGACATTGAGAACAAGTCTGAGAGAGGGCCTGTTTACCCTGAAAGGGTTCATTAATAATAATAACAATAATAATAATAATAATTATAATACATATAATAATAATAATAATAATAATAATAATAATAATAATAATAATAATAATAATAATAATAGGTAGTAGGTTGGTAGACAGCAACCACCCAGGGAAGTACTACCGTCCTGCCAGATGACTGTGAAACAAAAACCTGTAACTGTTTTGCATGATGGTAGGATTGCTGGTTTCTTTTTCTGTCTCATAAACACGCTAGATAACAGGGATATCTTGCTACTCCTACTTACACTTTGGTCACACTTCACAGACACGCACATGCATATATATATACATACATCTAGGTTTTTCTCCTTTTTCTAAATAACTCTTGTTCTTCTTTATTTCTTCTATTGTCCATGGGGAAGTGGAAAAGAATCTTTCCTCTGTAAGCCATGCGTGTCGTATGAGGCGACTAAAATGCCGGGAGCAATGGGCTAGTAACCCCTTCTCCTGTAGACATTTACTAAAAAAGAGAAGAAGAAAAACTTTATAAAACTGGGATGCTTAAATGTGCGTGGATGTAGTGCAGATGACAAGAAACAGATGATTGCTGATGTTATGAATGAAAAGAAGTTGGATGTCCTGGCCCTAAGCGAAACAAAGCTGAAGGGGGTAGGAGAGTTTCAGTGGGGGGAAATAAATGGGATTAAATCTGGAGTATCTGAGAGAGTTAGAGCAAAGGAAGGGGTAGCAGTAATGTTAAATGATCAGTTATGGAAGGAGAAAAGAGAATATGAATGTGTAAATTCAAGAATTATGTGGATTAAAGTAAAGGTTGGATGCGAGAAGTGGGTCATAATAAGCGTGTATGCACCTGGAGAAGAGAGGAATGCAGAGGAGAGAGAGAGATTTTGGGAGATGTTAAGTGAATGTATAGGAGCCTTTGAACCAAGTGAGAGAGTAATTGTGGTAGGGGACCTGAATGCTAAAATAGGAGAAACTTT